CCCCCCCAAATAAACACGTTCTGCTACACACTAAGTATCGAGAAAATGCACTGTAATGGATGTGTTAAATTTGAATTCCATGGTACAAAATCGTTGTATTCAACAATTGATCCTGAGCGAATACGTTTGTTAGAAAATAATATTATATTATTACTATGTATGTTTAATGAGGTTATTATGATTAAAGTAAAATATTTTACTATTAATAATACATCGTATCTTTTCGTTTAATTTTATAATAGTATGAACTACTTATCAGAAACCCTGTATAATATATTCAAACTGTTGACACAGTTATATTTTATTATAGACAGTTATAGATAAAGTACTTGGATTCAAATGTGTACAGATAATTCGAAAAGAGTAAAAATATTTTGAAAAGCATGTTATGGTAAACAAAATGCAATTATAATAGATATATAATGGTGAATATATAATGAAATTGATTAAATACCATGTAGTCGAAAACTAGTAAAAGAAATAGCTGTAGTTGCTGTTATATACGCGTTTTGAATAGATACTTGAAAAGATATTGATATTTAAAAAAATAGCAAATATTAAGCTGCTTGACATAAATAAACCGTTTTATTACAAACATTCTTACAAAATTAGATTTTCAAACTGATTGCTTTGAATTTTTCCAAAAAATATTCAATTCATTCATTTTCAATAATTTAAAATATGTTAACCTTAATTATATATAATACAAAAGTCTATAAATAATGTATATTTCATAAAATAATTTTAAAATTATGATTGGAACGAAAGTTATAGTATTTGTCAGCTCAACCAATGTGTTGAAATTTTTTTATTATTCGTGATCGTTTCGTTTTAAAAATATTATTATGTAAGAAAATATTAATTTTATACTCGATACCATCAATGTTAAGTTATAATTTGAAAAAATGATTTATACATAACTTCGCTAAAATTTGCTTGAAACTATTAGCTAAAATTCGTAAGAAATAGTTTAAAAGTATTAATTCAATTAGTAGTTTCAGTGTACAATTTATGAACAGCAATTATTATATGTATGTCACTGCAGTGACCAAAGAAAACAGAGAGGTTTAAGAATTTAAAATAAATTATAGGTATTTAATTGATTGGAAATGATGAATACATTATGCATAAATATTATTAATAATTCGGAAGAGAGCCGGCCTAGTGCGTAGAGTGGTGGTTGGCTGCGGACACTACTGTTTTCAAGGGGTATAAGCACCGCCCGGATTCGGAAACCAGGCTTTTTGAGTCATCGCTACCCCGCATAAAAATACAATAGAATATATTAATAAATCAGTCTAGTAAGACCTAACTCTAGAAAATGTATGTGAGTTGTCCTAATAAATTTCACATGCACATGCAACAGTGGACAGCTCAAATGAACAGCTATAGGACCAAAAAATTACTTGAACTGATATTGTGTAAGTGTTCTACAGTAATTTTATAAAAACGAATTTTTGTACATTTGATGGATGGACGATTGAAGACGTCCATTAACTATGGACTAGCTAATATGTTTTAATCAGTTTTATTAAAATTATTTAAACTAGAGTTTGATAACAATAAATAATATTTATATAGGAAACGAGGATAACAAAACTTTCTTTTACATTTTAAGATTTGTATATTTTTGACGATGGATATTCGGAATGAGAAGAATAATATTTTCAACTTAAAGTTGGCCAAACTTACAGGTTTATATCAAATGATAGATCCTGGAACAGTACAATTTCGTGGTCGAAACATCTATCATATTATCGTGGTATGCGTTTTGCGAGAACGTTTTGTTGGGTAATCGACCATATTTTTGAAAATCAATTTCACGGTTTTATTCAGTGTTGCGATAGATCTCTTGGCATTCAGTGGTTATGTACAAATCAAAAATCACGACGGTTCAATCGGGTATTACCGCGAGAACTTTGCGAATTTATATGTCACTGTATCAAGTGTATCAAATGTACAACGCACACTATTATATTATGTTCTACTTCATCGAGGAATTATTCTTCGTCTTGAACTTAGCAATATACTTTATGTTCGATATTCTCCTGTTTTTTGTGTGTCTTGGTATGTGCTGTCAGATGGATATCATTTGCTCTGCGTTGGAATTGGTCGGACACAAACCACATCGTGATACTCATTCCCCGATTGGTGAGTAAGACATTGAAGTACATCGAATAGTGTATACGTGCTTTCAGTAGTTTTCGGTTTTCGTATTTATGCAAATTTTGTTGATTTCCATTATTAAAATTGTAAATGTAACCTATCGAAACTTAATTTTTACCTTTAATTTTGCTTCTCTAAACCCAACGTAAGATAGTGGTCTATGGTTAATATAATGTTAAAATAAGAATTCAAAATTAAAAAGTGACATTTCAGTATAAATCATTTTTGTTTTCATTTCATTAATTTGTGTTTATTTTTTGTGATGAGTTCTAATTTTAACATATTTTATTCCTTTTTCTGATTATTCTTTTTTTATATTTACAACTAAAATTAAATGTCTACAATTTACGTATGTTTTATGGTAGTTAAATTAGATTTGTTGATCGGATGAGTATTCTTTAAAAAAAACATGGTATGGCGTTATGCAAGCCAAAATTTGCTCATACCTACTTTAAATATTTACTGAGTTTTTGACATAATATAAGACAGTAATATAGTCACATCAATTCAATATGTTTTAATATTAAACTATCGCCGATAAATGCACGTCAAGTATTAAATGAGTTATAGTTGTATTGTTGTATACCTACAATGCAGGAACACATTTAACGAAAAATGTGTTCATAATAATTGCTAGATTCCGTACTTAATTTATAATGATAGTAGGTAGGCAATTATAGTAAATCAATTATTTTTTGAATTACCTATTCGATTTGTTAATAAAATATCAAATTGCTCAAAATTATCCACTATCCAGTTCTATTCAAAATGAATAAAATATTAGATTTATTGAAGTGTAAGTGGTGTATAGTATTTTAGAACTATAACTTAGGAAGTGATAACTTATGTGCAGTAGAATGATTTCAGAGTTTCTCAAAATTTGAGATATTTAAGGCTTCCGCAGTTATACTAACAAGATATTGATGTAATTATTTATGATCTGTTCTTTATTTGGAAGTATACAGAAACAAGTAATTAATATTTTTTATTTATTAATTGTTGATCTGGCATGTATGTCTCATGAATTGTTATACTATTACTTACCGTTATATTATTAAAATGAACACAAAAAAATAAATCATACATCATATTATTTCATATTTTACTATTTTATTTATTATAAGGCAATAGATACACTAGCATTAAATATACCAGTTAATGTTACAAATAAATAGTACTGAAATTATGTTAAATATGTATTAATCATACAATGTATACCACCGTCATGAGCAAAAACGCCCTAGGTCCCAAAAAATATATAAATGAGTTAAAAACAAATAAATTATTGTAAAATTTAGCTTGTGTAGATGAATGTGCCGTATGTTTGTAATATTACTCCAAATGTATAATACAAGTTATAATCAAATAATTAAAACTTCGAAAATCGTAGAAAAAATCGTGTTTACTAGCATTAACGCCGTAAGTATTGTTGAAGACACGGTATTTTATCTTAGTACATAGTGCAAATTATAATTGACGGTATTTTGGCTTAGTAACACGGACCGGTTTACGTATCACTAGACAAGTCGACTATCAGAACGATTTATTTATAATAAACTTCTTCGACATTGGATATGTATCATTTTTTATTTATTTATAAATTGACCGAAGAATAATGTAATTGTTTGGGAATTTAATATTTAAATGTATAAATAATTTTATCATATCAGAAATTGTTACTTACGAGTCACGGCATTCTTGCTTTTGAATTAAATATTAAAAGTTTATACCAATACTAAGGTACAACGTAAAAAGCAAAATATCATATTAAAAATAAATTTAATCATATTTCTTATTGTGTCATTGCATCTGTTGGGTAAAATTACATTGAAAAACATATATCATATTTAAATAATTAGAATGTACAAGGTGTAATGGTTTTATGAAAATATAAAACACAAAAACGCGTTTTTCTCATAATCGTTCTCCGGTGAAATACTGCATTTTCGCTTATGACGGCAGTATGAACCAAAATGTAATTTTATCAATCAAAATATTATGGAACGCTCAATCTTTCCCTTTTGCCTAAATTTAGTATCATTAAAATATAACATTTATAAATGAATCTAGACAACAGAGAAAAAATTTGTTAAGTAGAAATTTATGTTTCCATACTTTGGAAGAAAAACTATAAACATACAGGCTGTAAAACAATTATCGGATTCAATGAATTTTAAAGTCCTAGGTTTAAAACTTTAAAATGACCATTATTTTTATATAAACTTTTTTTATTAGAGAAAGATTCAATGGCATTCGCATTGTACAGCAGTAATTGGACCGAAATGGACATGAAATGTAAAAAATTGATATTATTGACAATGAAGTTAAATAATACTAACCACAAAAAATGGAAATTTACCAGAACCAAAATTGTAGACTTGAAAATGTTTTTTATAGTAAGTATTTATGTCTAATATAGTTATTATTCAACATATAACATTTACCACTTCTTATCAAACATTTAGAATAAATCTGTTCATAAATTTTTTGATATTTTATAATATTCTTGCATCCATATAAGAAAAATGTATAATACGAATTTCAATCTGGAAATGTAAAATAAATACAATTTGTTCATTTTTATGGTTTTTACAAAATTATATAGGTAATGTATGAAAAATAATAAAATTAATATTTGGTCAAATTATTTCGGTGCTTTATAATTTGTAATAAGTGGGTAACAAATAATTAGGATATTTATGTTTTTTTGAAAGTAATAATCAATATTTACTAATTTTTTTTTATTACAGACAATGGGTGATTGCTACACTGCAGTCATTGCGGTTTTAGTAAATTATATACAACAAAATGTTGATCAAATTTAGTTCATGTATACTTGAAATTTAGTAATGTTTTTACATCATAACTCTAATTATTAGATTATTGTCTAGTCAAGTTTACATATTATATAACTAGGGAAAAACCTCTCATGCATAAATATAAAAATTATTAACTAGGTTAACCAAACAACATGTATGTAACAATATTTAGTCTTAAGTCTTAGTCAGTAAGTTTTAGCATATGTTGCAAAACAAAAACTACGTTACATTAGCGATAATATATATGTCACAGTGTGAGAGAAATAACAAATACAATGATATAAAATCGATGTATAGAAGAAACAATTCCGAGAAAAGACCTTCATCATCTAATTTTACCCAAAATTGAACTTAAAATGTTTATTAAAAAAACTGTGATATAAAACTACTTCTATAAAATTTGCTTTCGACTGTGATATTTTTTTTTTTTTTGAAGTCCCCTAACCAGGCATGGCAGAAACCTACGGGTGCAAACAAAAAACACACACGTGTTACCCCTCTACAGTCCCAAACACTACAGTACCACACAACCTACAGCTAATGGCCTAAGTTGCCGAAGTTTAAATCAAAAAAAAAAAAAAGAAATATTATAGTCTAAAGCAAATTTTATAGAAGTAGTATTCTACAACCAATATGATAATTATTATTTTTTTTAATTTTAATGAAATATAATAAAATATATTTCCAATATTTACTTCGACATGTTAATTTTGTTTGAAAAATTATGATATAAATACTATATTAATATATATTTCTTATATTTTAGAATATAGAGCAGTGTTTCAAGTTTCTGTAGTTCATAATTTTTTAAATAAAAGAAAATTACAAAAATTATTTTAGTACAAATATTTGTTATACTTAAATATTAAATATTGAAAAAAAATGTGTTCATATATTTTTAATATTTTTGAGTTCGATACGTATAAGGAAAACTTATACTATCAATTTCAATCAGAAGATAAATAATAAAGAAAAAATAAATACAATTTGGTCATTTTTTTGATATTTAAATATTATATGATGTATAATAATTAATAACATTTGTATTTAATCAAATTATTTCGGTCATTTATAAATAGTTATAATGATGTAAGTATGTTTTTTGGAAACTAATTTTTTTTTTTTTTATCACAGACAGTGGGTGATTGCTGCACAGTTATATCGGTTTTAGTAAATTATATACAACAAAATGTTGAATGAATTTTGTTCGGGTTTATTTTAAATTTAGTAATGTTTAGCATCCTAATTATTACATAATGGTCTAGTCTAATGATAAATCTAGTTCTTTAGATTATCTAAATACTCATAACTCATAACTTATAACGTATTATTGTAGTTGATATAGCTGAATGGATTATTATGATTATGTAACAGTTTACACAGAGTTTATTTTATATCATTACAATAAAATATTTATTAGTTTATTTTGTTGTAATTAATTCAACTCATGCAAAAAAATGTGGGCCATTGGTTGCCTTTCTGCTGTACTTAGGTGGCACACTAAAATTTAACACATTCATAACAATGTGTTAAATTTTACTCCACAAGACACTCCATAAGTAGTACAAAAAAATCTCAAGAATTTGAAAAAATGGTCTTGATGTATATTTAAAACATTAAAACATCAAAATTTGAATATCTGCATTAGGTATTGAAGAAACAAAGGGTGCGAGCGTGCTCAGTGAATTACTTTGTATATTAATTAATTATATCTTGGTTTTCATAATTAGGCATAATGCTGTTCTTATATTTTTATTTTCCCTCTGTTTATCCGCTGTTCTTTTTGTTTATTATTATAAATTAGATATAATATATAAATAATATTATTGAAATGTAACTAAAGCACCATAATAACTCTCTTCCTCCAACTCAAGGTTTGTTAATAAGGAGTAGATAAAATCAAAAAAATATGTGTGATTGTATGATCATAAATATAAATAAATGGTTTAAAAAAAAAAAAATATTTATATAGTGTAATAAAAAGACATGACGAATAAAAAATGAAAATGAAATGGATAATAAATAACTTTCATAAACCTGAAAAAAGTTCAAAAAGAAATTATTGAGTTTCGAAAATTAATTTAAGTACTCAGAAAAGTATTGGCATTTAAAAAAACTGCAAAAATAAATTAAATACAATTGTAAATGTTTCATTTTCAATATTAAAGATGAAAATAAAAAAATTGTTTATTATATTATGTATAATGCAGCACTACAAGTCTATATTTTTGCATAGGCATTAGGATAGGTAAAAATATAATTGTGTGTACCATTACTTGATAGAGTATATTATGTTAAGAATATTAATAAGCAGTAAATGCTGTAATTTGAACTACCTTTTTTTTTATCAATATCTTACCTAAAATCAGTGGTGTATTGGTACGGATACGCGGGTATACGCCGTATACCCGTCAGCAGATTTTCTATTTTCGGCGTATACCCAATGTAAAATATCATTTTACGGGTATACGCTCTTAAAATAACTCGAAAACCAATTATTCATAGGAAAAATTGTTATTTTAATATAATAATGAATTTTAAATTAAATTTATTAATAACATTTTGAAAAATAGATGTTATTAAAATATTATGTAATATTACCAATATGGAGTATGAATGCTCAGTCCATGGTTCTCAACCTGTATTATGTCATTTATAANATCGTTGATGGGGCCGTCGGATCGTCGCCGGAGTTGATGTTGCTGTTGTCGTTGTTTTCGTGTCACACAAACTCTCCTCACACACCGCCTCGGTCATAATTATATACACCACTGCAGTGTGCCTAAGACCCTTGGTCAGCAGCCAGCTGCGATGGTTAGGTTACCTAACCTAACCCCACATTCAGCATATTAGGCAGCGGCTTAAGGAATAATGTACGATGCCGATGATAGACGGCAATCGTTACACTACCAAATAAATTACTTATTAACTTAATAAGTAGTTTTAGTGTGTAATTTGTGAACGGAAAAACAAATGTAAACCGTACAATTATAAAAAAATCGGTTGCATAATATATGATGGTCTTGTACGTCTTGTTTCGTAGTCCGTCGTCGGAGTTGCATTATTAATCCATTTAACCCTTCATGAACATGCAACTATGGACGAGTCAGATTAACATCGATAACAAAATTACTTCCACCTATCTTGTGTACGACTTTAACAGTCCTCAAATTACGAATTTCCAAATTAAATATTTTCTTATCATTTGCAGGTATGCCATAAGTGCTACTTTTTATGCAACTAGTTTCTACGTTTAAAAGTTATTATTATTTTCATTTTTTTGATTTTGCTCATTTCTGTAATAATTTCACATCTCATACGATTTATTCATTGTAAATTGTACAAGTTGTGGCAGACAAATTCATGCAGCATGTTCCATGTGAAAGAAAATATATTTTAAAAATTTGACTAACCAAAAAAATGATCGAACAAATAAATTTGCAAATGTAATTTATTTCTGTCTGAGTACACGATGATAAATAGTCGTAATAATGCTTTGATTTATACCTTTAATATCTTTTTCTTTGGGAAAATGAATCTAGTTTTTGCCTTCAGGAGGTCGAACATTGAAATTATCTGTAGTTTTTTAAAAACATAAAAAAAAAAAACAAAAAAAAATTGAAGAAAAACGAAAAAAATATATAAACACAGTTTTTTTTATAGTTATCCTATTGTTGAATTTCAACAAAATTACATATAAAATAACCAATGACTATAAAAAGTTCATTTGTATTTTTATTATTTTTTAACTGCTGTTATAACAGTAAACTAGAAACTTTGTAATGCAATTTTAAGATTTTCTTAAGGGTAAACATTGTATCATATTTTTAGAAAAAAAACTAAAAAAAGGGGTGAGTTAATGTCACTCTGCAGTACATTAGGTATCTAGAAGGTTGCTGCAATGGATGGTATTAAATTTGAATTCAGTGATAAAATATCATTATAGGTATACAAAAAAAAAACTCTGGGAGGAGGCGGTATGTGAGTCTAGGATATTTTATATTGTTATTACTTATTAATAATACGGTAGCCGGTAAGTTTATTAATATTATTTATAATATTATTGTTAAATTATCAGTCATGATGGAAAAATATTATATATCCTTATGTAACATTGGGCTGTTTTAGAACCGAATTACAAAATGACTAAAATCGTTATTCTTAGAGTTAATATGTGATTTTGTCTAAATTCGAACTTAAATAACTATAAAAAAGCTGTGTTTATGTTTATTTTTAGATTGTTTGGTTTCTCAATAAATTACTTAAGTAGAACCCAGTTTTAAATATTTAATCCTTGACTACAAAAGTTGAACAATTAATATATTTTTAACTGCAAAATCATTTCTCAATTTTCATTTAAAAAATGTTGTCGAAATTTGAACTTTAAATGTTTATAGAAATTTTAATTCTTTTTGACCCAACCCATACAATTGTATTCACATATATAGAAAAAAAAATGAAAAAATGAAAATTGAAAATGTTCGTCAATAGCTTGAAATGAGTCGATATGTTTTGAAAATTTTCTATTTAGTAATGTCTTACATTACTACTTGAATTATAAGGCAATTATTTAGTCGAATTTTAATATTTTATAACAATAAACCTAGTTCCCAAGATCATATAAATTTCTTATAACTTATTAAGTTATAACGTGTTATTGTAGTAGTAGCTTGTGAATAGATAATCATGGTTATGTAACAGTCTATACAGAGTTTATTGTATGTCGTCAAAATAAAAAAATTATTAGCTTATTGTTTTGTAATTAGTTAGTGTCCAGTAAATTCCTGTAAAAAAGTGGGCAAGTGCCAAGTGGTCATACACTCATACATTGGGTATCCAAAGGGAACGCTGTATATGTGTTAAATTTGATTTCAATGATATAAAATCAATGTATATAGAAAAACGATTTTGAGAGGAGACCTATAATATTATTATAATGAGGTAGAAAGTACATATATTTATGATATTATTGCGATTAAATAATTTATTATAGTATAAACATTAGTATTGAGTAGTTTAAATTAATTTTTGCCGAAAAAATTGCATGTCATTAAGTTTCAAGCACCTAGAAATAATATTTTTTAATTACAACAAACAAACTAAAATCGTTAATATGTTGCTTAACTATCTAAGTAAATCGAAATTTGAACTTAAAATATCTATAAAAACACTGTAATATGATATTTTTTTAGATTTTTTATTGACGGTTGCAACGACTTTATTGAATTACATTTTCAAGCTTTTTGACCCAACAAATAACATTTTTTTTATATAAATTGAAAAAAAATTTCAAATTTTAAATGTCTGCAAACAGCATATGACACCTTCATCCCTCCTCCATAAGCACCCCCATGATATTAGATGGTTCACGTTCTACTGTACATTAGATGTCTAAATGTTACTGATGTAAGGACATTGTTTATGATATCGTCAATGTGTATAATATTGGTATTTTATAAAATGTCTAAGAGCTCTATGTAATAATACCAACTATAGCTGGCAATCTGTAAAATTGTTTAAGTTACCTCGTAAGCATTATATGAAATTCCAAACAATCCATAGGTGTTATCTATTAAATGAATTTTATCGATTTAAAGCCATTTGTAATCTGTAATATCGATGTAAGCAGCTTAATAAAGTATATAATCGACTGCCGACAGATAATGCGATACTTAATTCGTCATCCTAGTCATATACCTAACTAGTCTTTTAACATTTTAGTCTTTGAAAAATGACGTACGTAGAGAATAGAGAGCACGATATGAAATATTTTTTTAGAGAAAATAATGTTTTTTTAACTGATGATCGATATTATCAATTAGTTAAAGATGATGCAAATCAAAGAACAAAAAAAGCACCTCGTTAATATTGGTTGTTTAAAAAAAAAAGATTTATCATGTTAAAAATATTGAGAACAATATCTTATATTATACAAAAGAAAGTGAAGTTTTTGATGTGTCACGTGATGCCCACAAATCATTAGGACAAGAGGTACAGGAGAGAATATTGTAAGTTCTTCATAGTAGGTTTAAAAAATATCACGTTCTTTGAAGAAGATTTTTATTTTTCATTGTGTGAACTTACTGTGTCAATTAAAACACGAAAAAAAAATATAAAAGGATTAAATTGGAAACCAATTAATTCTGATGAATTTCGCTGTCGCTGTTAAGTTGATTTCGTTGATTTCGAATCAAATGCTG